AATATCATCATCATCATCATACACCTTCTGCGTCTAAAGTTGGACATAGGTCTTCCCTTATTTCTTCCAGTTCTGTCGGTCTTAAGCTTCCTATAGAAAATTCTCAGCGACTTGACGACGTTTGTCCATCGCGTAGATGGTCTAGCTGTGCTGCTACTATCAGCTTGTGGTCTCCAAAACTATAATTTTTTGGCTCCATCGCCCGTCATTTATTCTGGCAACATGGCCCGTCCAGTTTCACTTTAGCCATGCTATACGCTCTGTGACATCTGTGACGCCTGTCTATCTTTTGATTTCTTTGCTTATAACTCTGTCTCTGAAAGTCAGTCTAAGGAGTGAGCATTCCATTTATCTTTGGGCTACTCTGAGTTTGATTGCTGTGGCCGGGGTTAAAGAAAATGTTTCGGCGCTGTAAATCATGACGGGATGGAGATATAGTTCGAATGTATTTTTTTCAAATAACTTTTCATGTTGCTCTTGATGATGTCTGATGGAGCTCCATATAAGGCCCATACTAAAGTATTTCTTCTTTGCAGTTTATTAGTTTGATTGTTTCTAGCAATTTAGATTGTATGACCGAAGTATTTATTTTTATGAATTTATCCTATTTCCTATTATTTTGGATTTTCGCTTGGTACCAGATTTCTAATGTACCGTGTCTTTCAAAAATTTATGTTCAAACAAACTTCGTTACAGGCAACATCTAACTCAGTAGCAAAGTTTCGATCTATTTTAAGTAATTTGTTATCAGAACAATGTCATCCGTAAATTGTAGGTGTGAGAGCATCTTTTAAAACTGCTGTAAAGAGTTTTTGAAACAGCGTGTCTCCTTTTATGATTCCTCTATTGCTGTTTATACAGTTTGTATTTGTGTGTGGTCTTACGGTCATGGTTGCATTATTGTATATATTTGTGCGATCTGTTGAAAGTACTTATAATCTATGCGACTTTCCTGTAACGCTCTCATTACGCTGTTAATATCTATTGTATTTAATACTCTGCGAAAGTCTACGAAACCTAAGGATAATGGTATGTTGTATTTAATAAATTTTTCTAAAATACCTTTTACGCAGTGGAGGTGATCGTTGGTTTCAAAGTTTTTCCTAAAAACTACCCGTTGCCTTGGTTTAATGAGAATATAATTCTGTTTCCAGTCTATTTGTTATTATTCATGTGAATAACTTTTAGAGGTAGTTTAACAGGCTTATGGATCGGTAATTATCGAGATCTGTTGGATCGCCCTTTTTGTATATTAACATGGTATGTGCACTGTGCCATCTTGTAGTTGTTTCACTTTGGTACAGACATATATGTTAAACAATATCATCTTCTTCCGGTGCCTTATTTCTTTTCATGTTTTTCAGTGCGTTCCTTATTATGCCTGTTGATTTGTCAGACATCAATTTCAATCATTCGGTAACTTTTCTGTTAGTTGATGATCATGATGTTGTTGTCTTCTGTATAATTCTGTATAAAATTCTTATTAGTGATTCATCTCTCTTATTGATTAAATTTCCATCTTTATTCTTCAATTTAAATTTTTCTTTTTAGCATATTTTAATTCTGTCCTGGAAATTTGGAGACTTTCGTTATTTTTAATCGTTTGGTGGATTTGTTCTCTTTTATGCTTTTAGTTGTCTATCCTAATAGATTTTTGTATTCTTTTATTTATCTGTCTAAGTTATGATGTTCATTGCTTCTGTTACTTTTCTAATATCTTCCATTATTACTTGTGTTCGGGGACATCAGGTTGTTGAAATATGTGTCTGTATTTTTATTGTTTTTGAGAATACTGTTGATGTGTTTGTCAAATGCATTTGTATTATTAGGTTTTTCTCAGGTATGTGTGGATTTCCTTTGCATCATGCGATTGTACTTTTTCTTAAGGTCAATTTCTAATTACTCTTTCACCATTTTATGGTCGCTACCTGTTGAAGTCTGGTATAGGATTGTAATATATTTAAAGATGCGCCTCTTGTCAGTGATCATAAAATTAATGCCGTTCTTATTTTGTCTATTAGGGCTCTGCTACGTCCATTAAAACATAATAGCCACTAAAACATATCACAGACAAAAACTGCACATATAAATTAATTCAACAATATATCAGAAAACAGCATTAACACTAAATTCAACAAACAAATAATACATAATGAAGTTTGTTCTAAAGCTATTTTCTTATGGCATCTTCATGTAATTTAATAGTTTTGTTGGAAATTATTTTCTATCAAATGGGGTTATTTATTGTTTCGATCAGCTGCCAGTTTTTGTGACAATTAAAACATTTAAATTTCGACGCATGTGAAAATATTTGTTGACATATTGTAGCAAAATAGTGATAAAAAATGTAAAATATTATCTCCCGATGGGGAAAAAATTAACACGATAATGAGCAAATTAAATACTTCTTAAGATATTAGTGTTAGTGACGAAAATATAGATACAGGAATTAACACCACCGATTCTCCTGGTACCAGGGAAGTAAAAAATTTTTAATAATATTTCTAGTAATTAAAACTTGTAACGATAAGACTTCCAAAGAGAATTGAAGTACTATTGTAAAAATAATACCTCAATCAACCATGGGAGCTTATCGTCTATACCTTGCCTAGCTCAGTATCTCAAGGGTGAGTTCGTCTTGTCTTAAAATAGGGATTGAACCTGAGTTCTCAGTTTATAGCAAATAAGACAAATTTAAACCAAACAAATTTATTTAAAAGAATAAAAAACACAATAATTAACCCTGCCAAAGATTAACAATTAATGTAATAATTTTGATTGCTTCGTTCGATGGGCTACTTGTGTGTTCTGTCTGCTAGGTCCTCCAATAGAATGTTGTGGATTGTAGTTCTGGAGAGCTGCAGTTACATGTAGTCGTAAGGTTTGATTAAAAAGTCCAATAGAAGTCCAATAAAATTGTTAATATTTTCAATGAATCCAATAAATGCTCAATACAATGGTTATTCAATTATTATTCCCAATAAACTAAAACATAAAAGGATAGGCAAAGGATAGTATGGCAAGGATAAAATAAAATATAATTGTTACTATGACTGTTAGTTAAATACTGTTAAAGAGTCCTAATGCATATGTAATAAAATAATGTGCTTTCGAAAGAAAGTAAGGTTACAAATATCGGAAATGCAGTTAGAATTATGGAGTAAATATTAAAATGAAAGTACTTACCCCAAGAGAATTTGTAGACCATAAAATGAGTCTAATAATAATTTTTGCCTTCTTATATAAAAATCAAAAATAAGCAAAAAATAATCTGGCTACATCAGAAAAATAGTTTTGATGGAGAGTGGCAGACTAAAATGAAGTTAGCACATAATAATATGTCATAGGATGTTGCTATAGACATCATGAAACTAGCTTGTCTGTCAAAACATAACACAAAGAGAGAGAGGGCGAATATTTATTCTACGTGACAGAAAGAGAGAGTAAATAATAACAGGAAGAAATGAAAACAGAGGAAGATATAGAGGTTGCCAACTACTTTTTAAATAAAAAATAGTAAAATTAAACTGAAGATGAACAAATTAATAAATTACTAAAGAAACTAAAATAAAATAATTATTTAAATATAAATTACTAGAGATGTGGCGTTTATAACGTAACAAACTTCCAAAATTGTTGAACGTATAAGGATCACTGATCAAAATATGGCCGATTACACCCAATGGATTTGAGAGATATTTAACATCAAAAATCAAAGTTTAACCATATTAAGGAAACTCAAACTATAAGAAGAAACCGTTGTAAGTAATGCTTAAATTTATTTTGGATGCAAATAATTTAGTCGATAATAGTCATTTAAAGAATAAATTATTTAAAGGCGTACACTCCCAATATGCTTTTGAATAACATTTCAATACCAAATATAACATTTTAATTAAAAAAAAATATATGGTCTACATTATTTTACAAATTATTGATATTAAAAGAACGCACATAAAAATAGAAAAGGATGGAAGTCAAGAATATGTCCGTAGACGTAATGTTATAATTACATTTAAAGGCAATTTACACAAAGGTATAAGTATATATCGATATTTAAAACCTGTTCTTTTTTCAAACAAAAAAAATTCACAGTTGAACATAAAATTTTACATATGGAGGCCAAAAATTTGAGCAATCCTTCATTTTCTGGTCTTATTTATAATAACAGACTTATGATATTGTTAAATTGAAAATTTACTAACACATCTTCTTCCAACCTATTAAGACATCATTAAAAGAAAACCAAAAATATTAGTCAACAAAATTCATATTAGAAGAAAAATCGTGCTAACAGAAGTAAATATAGTTTGTGTTATTAGGAGTAAAAATGAAACTTTGGCTGTACGTTCGACAGAGAAGCGTAGCGAGTCCGATATTAAGTCAAGGCCCAACAAAAGTCACTTTTACTCCCTATTGATTGTCACTTTGACAAATAAGAAAAATTATTTAAGACCGCAAAAATATTTTTGCGGTATTGGGTAAGTTGTATTAACAACTTTTTGTTTTATTGTCGCCCACGAGTATTAATATGTGATTCCTAAGACCCCACGGCATCGCGTATTCCTCCAGATAGTTTGTGTACTGCAAAGATTGTAACCGAACGGTTGTTGCCCAAAATGTCCATTGCGGTTTACGAAGCTTTTGAGCTTTTGACTTTTATACTTTAATTCTTTAGGATGCAGTCAATCTTTGCAGTTTGGCCCAAAAGACAAAGAAATATAAAAATTATCTAGTTATAATTCGCCCTTGCGCGTGCAAACGGAGATAAGTCCAAAATTGCCATTTTGAGATATAAGCGTTTAAAAATTTTTATGAATTTATAAGCAAATTTTAAATAAAACAACTTAAATCTAATTAAAGATGAATTAAAAACTTTATTTAATTTTACAAACTAAATGAAAATATTACCCTGTAATTTTGAAAATCATTATAACATGAGAGAAAAAAATAGTTATCTCCAAATGCACACAACTTTAGCGTACATAACCCTATCTGCACTAATCGTCATCTAGTATATCTTCTTCTTCTTCTGAACAGTAGTCTGCAACATCGGTCTGCGTAGGTAAGTTTTTATAGAAATCGTGAAATACGTCATCTATGTATGGTAATAAATCCATTAGATTACTTTTTTTTTCTGAAGAAATTGGATTTGGATATTTACATTTTGGTAGATTTAATGGAGGAGATGAGAAACCTCTTCTAAGAAAATTCATTGTTTTAAATGGTTCATCTTCTTTGTAACTATTTTTATACGAAAACAGTCCAAATTCTTTTTGATATCTAATCCATTTGACATCTTTCCAAATAAAGCGGTTACCGTCATTATCTACCTTTCTTACTTGTAATGAACTCTTTAGTAAACTTGCAAAATCAATAAAATCATTTCTAGTCATTTCTTGAACCTTAAAGGGATATCTTTTACCACACAGTCGAACAAGTTGATACCAGTCTCTTGGATGTTCAATTCGGCTTTCATATTTTTTCTTTTTTTTTTCAATTATCGAATGGTCGCTATCACACTCCATTCTTGTGTGTCCTGGAATTAAAAATGTATGATCCAATGTATCGAGACCAGAACTAACCATTAAGACCATAAACATTGCAATGAGATGAGAGTTTTTATTCTGCCCTCCACAAGTGTCAGAATACAATGTTATTTTTCGTACTTCTGGTGGGATTTCTAAGAGCTCTTTATACAAACAAGAAGCTATTTGATTGGCTCCACGACCAGAAATCGTTTCATACCACATACAACAAGTAGTTTTGTTATTACCACAATCATGAATTGTAAGGTTGTACGTCCAGAGTTGCCTTTTATAAAAAGCTATTGAAGTGTTTAGGCTGGGCGTGGGTAAACACTGCTGCAAATCAAAAGCAAAAACTCTCTGGGACTTGTCATCTTGACAAATTATTTTATCTTTTCTTTTTGCTGCGTATGCAGCTTCTGCTTCTTCTTGATGCCGATTTAGTTATCTTCTTATTTTTTCCTTTTGTTCTTCTTTCTTTCATTCACTATAGTGTTATGTAACTTGTCACAAGTTTGACATGTATCCTTACTATATTTTTTTTATTGAAATGTTCATTGTATGAAAAATAGTCTCATATATCTTTCTACTTACGGGACTTTGAGGTTGGATCCAAGCTTTATATTCATCATACATTCTGGTCAATGTATAAAAAGAAGGCAAAAAACGTCTATCTCCAGTTTTTTCACGACAATAATGACTTTTGTATGTAGGTATAAGACCTATATGTTGCTTTATCATGTCAATTCTGTCTGAATTTATTTTATTCGCAGGTATATGGCTTCCTCTTTTATCTTCTGTTGTTATACCGGAAAAGCTAGTTTTTGTAATAACATTTTCTATAAACTTATTCGACAAATCAAATGTTTTTTGAAAGCACTGTTTACAAACTTCAACGAGCTCACCTGCGATCTTGAAGTGATACTGATAGCTACAAGCTCTTGTTTTTGATGAATTAAGTTTCATTGTCTTTTTTTCCTGCCTCAAAATAAGACTTGAACAGTAAGCAACCCTTTTATTATAATCCCCTAACTCCCAAAATTCTGTAAATAACAACTGTTTACGTACTTCGGTATCAAATTTTTTACCGCATCCTTTTCGGCAATCTCCAAGTACCTTACATTTTTTGCCTTTCATCAACTTATTTTTTTAGAGTCATGTATTCTTTACCTGCATTTCTTTCCATTTTTCTTTTTTTCCTCATTGCTCTAGTATCACCTTTTACCGATTTTCTTCCTTTTTTATTTTTATTCAATTGATTTGGATCTATTGTATTTTCAAACGAAACCAATGGAATACTATTCGAGTCATCTGATTCAGGAAGTTCATAATCTGGATCCTTGTCACTGTCGTCGATATCGCTTCCAAAGAACTCAGTAATCCTTTCACTAGGTGCATCTGCAAAAACATTTAGAATAAATTAATATTTGTTATTTTCTAAAATGTAACAAAACTGACCTCTGCTACAACCAGCTTCAGAAATATCAGCTTTACAAATATCAAAACGAGAATCGATATTTTCTTGTTTTTTTTTCCTGTTTTCTCGTTGTTCACATTCCAAATTCGAAAACATGGCTGTATCACTTTCTGGTGTAATGGACTGGTCAGTATTTACTTTGAGCTCAGCTGAAACAATAAGAAACATTGAAATATAATTTATTTTATAAAAAAAAATTCTAAAATTTCATTAATTTATTTATCATAATTTATTTTATAAAAAAAAATTCTAAAATTTCATTAACCCCCGACGAAATATGAGCTCAACGCCTTAATATATCTTCATAAATTATAGTTAAAAACCATCTAAATAATTTATTGTGCCGACATCAAACAAAAAAAAAACGTATCATAATTTGGTTCATTTATTGAGGAGCTACAATGCCACAGACAGACACACAAATACACAAACAAACAAATTATACCTAAGAGCTGTCTCGATTACGTCAGCGGCAGCTTTAAATAAAAAAACACATCTCGGCACAATCTTTGATGAGCTACGATGTCTTAGACACAGACACACACATATTAAACGTATAACTGGTAGTGATAACACTTCTGTTTTTGCGTCGGAGGTAAAAAATAGTTATTACTAATTTTAAACTAAAATAGTTTACTTACCTTCTGAATTTAATGCCCGTTCTTTCAGAGCGGCAAGAAATTCTCGTCTTTCTGCAAACATTTTTACTTATGATATTAATGATATTATTCTCTAATACGAGTAGTAGATCTCACAATATGTGCACGTCTCACCGTAAAGAACGCAAATGAAAACAAAATACCAATAAGCCACTCAATGTTATTCAGCTGCGAGTCGAAAACACGTGATGAGGTGATGCATCGTGTTTAGTGCAGATTTAGGCAAGTTCCGAAAAATTGGCGCATTGTAATACAACTAGACTTAACTCCATTTGCACTGACCGACATTATAGTGTCAACAGAGTCTATTTGACATAAATTCCTTTAACACATTTCAAAATGAGTTATCTTCGGTATCACTAATAAGTTTTGCTCGTAAACGTAAACAACAGAGATAAATCCTTTTGCACAATAAAATTTCGATCTAAAACGTGTTCATTTATGAAGTTATCTCGATTTGGACATTTTCAGACTTAACTCCGTTTGCACGCGCAAGAGCGAATTGTTAATTGTTTTACTTGCTAGTCGTGAGATTACAGTTTAACATTATGAAACGAACCATTACACATATAAATATTACAATTTAAAAAAAAATTGTTAGAATAACTATATTGTCATTATATATTTCATTGTCATGTTGGTTTGATTAATGTACATATATGAATGAATATACAGTTATTTTATGTGAAAAGCTAAACCAGCAGTAACAAGAATTTTTATTATTATTAATTTAATTGTCGATAAAAAATATAAAATAATAAACTAGTCCACACAAAAAAAACCTGTTCTTGGATACGGTACGATATGTAAACATAAACTTAGTTCTTGGATACGGCCCTGACAGTGGCATGATTATACCACGTTTTAAATCGTTCTGTTATTTTTTAATTTTTAAAGGTAAAATACGAAACAAAAATTTGATATTCTTAAATACTATCAATAAATAATAGGGCAGTGTTGATGCCATTCAACTCAACCCGACGTAAGTAACAAAAAACCTTTAAATAAGATATTACAATAGTAAATATAACCTATACAATTCGAATTAAGTTCAACTTACTGGTTTTATTAACTGGTTTTCTGGAACCATTCGGAACTGATCCACGCCGGTTCTTTGGCCGGTGACAGGACCGGACCTGCCCCAACGCAGGAAACAAAATAAAAAGGACTTCAATGAACAACATGACTACCTCTACCTCAAATACACCAAATATACCAAAATATACTTATTCCAATGTAGTAAACATGTTCAAACACCCAACAGGGGACCAAGCAGTAGTACTCTCCAGTATCGAAGGCATCAAAATCTACAATTACATCGGAGCAATTGGATCGCTGGTAGGTCCACGTAACGTCTTGTTTGCATCTAGAATTTCAAACAATAGAATGTGTATCTACCTCTCTACCAAAAACATAGTTAATGTACTTCTTCATTCTTACAAACAGATTAAAATAAATAAGTCAGAAATAGAGATAAGAAGATTAATTTAATTGTCGATAAAAAATATAAAATAATAAACTAGTCCACACAAAAAAAAACTGTTCTTGGATACGGTACGATATGTAAACATAAACTTAGTTCTTGGATACGGCCCTGACAGTGGCATGATTATACCACGTTTTAAATCGTTCTGTTATTTTTTAATTTTTAAAGGTAAAATACGAAACAAAAATTTGATATTCTTAAATACTATCAATAAATAATAGGGCAGTGTTGATGCCATTCGACTCAACCCGACGTAAGTAACAAAAAACCTTTAAATAAGATATTACAATAGTAAATATAACCTATACAATTCGAATTAAGTTCAACTTACTGGTTTTATTAACTGGTTTTCTGGAACCATTCGGAACTGATCCACGCCGGTTCTTTGGCCGGTGACAGGACCGGACCTGCCCCAACGCAGGAAACAAAATAAAAAGGACTTCAATGAACAACATGACTACCTCTACCTCAAATACACCAAATATACCAAAATATACTTATTCCAATGTAGTAAACATGTTCAAACACCCAACAGGGGACCAAGCAGTAGTACTCTCCAGTATCGAAGGCATCAAAATCTACAATTACATCGGAGCAATTGGATCGCTGGTAGGTCCACGTAACGTCTTGTTTGCATCTAGAATTTCAAACAACAGAACATGTATCTACCTCTCTACCAAAAACATAGTCAATGTGCTTCTTCATTCTTACAAACAGATTAATATAAATAAGTCAGAAATAGAGATAAGAAGATTACTAACACCAGCACAAATACTTTTAATATGTATGTATGCCCTTCAATTCCAAACAATATCATTAAAGCAGAATTACAAAAATTAGTCATCAGTGCAGTTTCCAAGATGACTTTTCTAAGAGTGGGTATGACAGACACCGAATATAGCCACGTCCTAAGCTTCAGAAGGCAAGTAATAATTTTGCCCCTGGATAATACTTCCATTTCTGACTCCTTCAATGTATTTCACCATAAAACTTATCGTTTATTCCTTTCTATTGATGGACTTAACTGCTCTAAGTGCAACACTATTGAACATAACGATACAGACTGTCCCATCATAACAACTGCTAACTCCTCAAACGTACCCTCCGAAACCTCTCCAAATACGACACCTGAAACACAAAAAAATATGGAAACGAACGCCAGCATAACTAAAACTATAAAAAACTTAAGTCAACCCTCCTTACCAAAAGAAACAATATCATCAAATCTAAATAATATTAAAAATCCTGCTGAAACTGTAACTTTGCAACCTTCAGTTAATATTAGCAAACAACTTACTCAATTATCTACTCAAGTTAGAAGAAAAATCTTATCCTCACCTGACATCAACCAAAATAACATAGAAACAGACTCCTAAGTCTTTGGGAGTCCCAAAAACAAACTAAAACCTCTGATGGCGACATTATTTGTTCTCTAAAATTGATAAAAGACCAAATTGAAAACCGATCACCCCCATTCACATTAAATATTAATGAAATATGCAACTTTCTGGTTAATACTCTTCATGTTAAAGATCCTGAAACTATCTCAAAGAACCATCTAAATAAACCATCCAAATTAACCGACATCCTTTGAATTGGATATTTATCCTATGGATAAATCACTAATCCTTCAATGGAACCCAAATGGGTATTTCGCTCACCTCGAATCACTCAAACTATTAATTCAAAAATATTCTCCACTAATACTATGTATACAAGAAACTCACTTCAAAGAGAATTATATAATTAAAAAATTATACTCCCTTTCTAAAAAATAGAAGTACAGAACACGCCAGTGAGGGCGTGGCTATCTTTGTCAGAAATGACATTATATATATATATATATATATATACAGTGTAGGTAAAATTTTATGGTCGGTATGGTAAAACTTAACAGGATATCTAACACAGATATAAAATCATATTTTCAGCGAATAGACAAAGATAACAATCATATTCCCCTTTGGTCTCCCCTCCATAAATCTTCGTGACGCCCATTTTGCCTGTTAGTGAGACGATTAGTTCCGATCAGAGATATTTTACATATTCTGTGGTTCCGATCCTCATAAAGCTAAGAAGCTAGAGGTGGGCCCTTTAGTTTTTTAAATTTTTATCGGAACCCTTTTTCGTAAACTGTAACTAGTTGATTGTTTACCAGTATTCAAATTAGCGAGTACACAAACATATTGGCTATTATCGTTTATGTGTATAAGTATTAAGTGAAAGAAACTAACGAAGAATATATTTATTATAACTTGAAAAATAAATTAAACAATACAAATAGTACTTACATTTACATGGACTTAAGTCATCTTTATCAGTTTCTTTTTCTTGTACTAGTCAATTTTCAATAGTATAATCTTCTTTTTCTTTTTTTTATAGAAGTAACCAGTTTCAACCATCAACTAGTTGATTTTAACGAACTTAACCGAAAATTTAGAGTTTAACACGGTTTAATTAGACTGCTGCCATTTTTCTGGAAACCATAATTCAGAAAACATCGCTTTTAAAATTAGTGAAATTATTATTCAGTGATAATGCCTACTGATAATGCCTCAAATATGGTCATAGCTATTAAATATGTTTTGGAATGAAAACATTTAAATTGTTTTGTTCATACGTTAAATTTATTGATGGAGGACGCACTTAAATGCTGTCGTGTACAAATAGATAAAATAAAAAGTCTTTTTTTCGACAATTCGGCAAAAAACACATTTCAAAAAAGTACCTTATCTTCAGAAACGCTTTTAAAGTATCAATTACAACAGAACAAAGATCCCAAACGGCCAATCCAAGACGTGGATACTAGGTAGAACTTCACCTATTACATGTTAGAAAGAATGACGGAGTTAGAAGAGGCAATCCGTTCCACATTGGTATCAGTTAATACAGACTTAGACCAAATCTAAATAATGAAGACTGGATTATTTTTTCGTAATTGTCCTAAATTTTACGGCCTTTTAAAGAAATAACAAGTACAATGAGTGGCCAAAAATACTTGAATGATAGTTCAGTGATTGTTCTGGTACGCTGCCTGCAAAAATCTTGCAATAAAATTTTAGCAAACAGTAACCTTACATCCATAGTTAGTATCCGACGTAGTACGGGTTTTTATTACTAATTACGGGACAATTACTAATCTCGGGTTTAGCAAAAAGATTTAGAGGGATAGAATACAGTGGCATATTGTCATTATGTACGTTTATGGATTCACGATTTAAAGTGCAGGGATTTTCTGATAAAAATGACGCTAAAAAAACAAAAGAAAGAGTTAAGAAGCTGGTTACTTCTATAATTAAAGAACAAGAAGATTGTACTATTGAAAATCAACCAGTATAAGAAAAAGAAACCGATAAAGATGACTTAAGTCCATGGTGTATTTTTGATCAATTAATTGAACATGACTCATCTAAACGTACACCTGTAGCGAGAGTCCATTACAATGGTGGAAAAACCATCGCCATGTATCTCCTAACTTAACCACTATATTCATAAAGTATTGTAAATGTGAACACATATTCAAAATCAGGTTTAATTTTAAATAAAAGAAAAACACA